TAATCTATGCATATTATGATAAGTTCCCTACATTCTCCAGTTTGTTACTTCTTGTCAAGTCCTGTTGAAGTAGAAAGGAATAAATACAACTTAAGTTTTCAACATCTTTCTTACAGTTCATAGGAGAGCTGCAGTTATGGATGTAGCACATTTCTATGAAGTTTCTTTTAAATTGGTTGTCAACCCTCTTTAGTACTTGCACATTTTCATAGTTAGCAGTGTGTCCAGTATTCTTAATATGTTGGCTAAAGGCTGTGCTGGTGGGCTTCCTCACTACATCACTCTTGTGCAAAGCTATTCTTTTTGAGAGTTTCTGGCTGGTTTGACCGACATACACTTCTGAACAAGAACCACATGAAATAGAATACACTACATTGAAGTTATCCAGTTTTTTAACTCTTTCTGTCAGGTGAGTAAAGTATGTCCCTAATCTTTTGTACACAGAATTTGCTATCACTATGTTGAACTGTCTGAAAAGGTTTGTGATCTGTGGTGATAAACCTTTGATGTAAGGCAATCTCCCATAGAAAACTTCTACTGTTTCTCCTTCTAATGTTTGTCTTTGGTGTGTTCTAACTGTTGGCATATCTTGAAATAGCAGTTTATTAAGAAGCATCTTAGGGTAGTGATTTTTTCTAAGAATCTCATACAATAACTTGATGTTCTTATTGTAGTTAGAAGGGTGACAAATTCTTTTTATTCTGTTTTTCAGACCTTTGATGATGTTAATCTTCTGCTCGTCTGGATGATACGAGTGAAAAGGCACATATCTACCTGAGAATGTTTTCTTTCTGTACCAATCCAACCTTACTGTATTGTCCTCATGTCTGGTTACATAGGTGTCTAGGAATGGAACACTATTATTTTCTTCTGTTTCAACAGTGAATTGTAGGTGAGTGTTATATGAGTTGAAAATGTCAAGAGTGTAGTTGATTTTGTCTGCAGGGACTGCACATATGAGGTCGTCTACATATTGGTAAATGAAGGGGAACTGGAAATCAACTTCTTGAGTACAGTAGTGAAGTAGGGAGTTCATTACAATTTCTGCCAAAGTTGGGAATATAGCTCCACCCATGGGTGCTCCTTTTATTTGGACATAGAATTCATTTTGAAAAGTGAAATATGTATTGTTGTATAAAAAGGTAATCAGTTTCAGGAACAAAACTTTGGGAATTGTACAGTTCTGTTCAATAAGATGGTAATTAGTTGTCAGAATAGAAACTACCAGTTCAAGAGGGATGTTGGTAAACAAGGAAGTAACATCAAAACTCACCAAGACATATCCTGAAGGTAGTAAAAACCCATTGATCTTATTTGCAAATTCAAAAGAATCTTTAATTTTGTAGGTATTATGAGAAGAAAAAGAAGTGTCAATAATACCTGCCAGATATTTAGCCAAGGATTGAGTGGGGGCATTCTTACAAGCAATTATAGGACGTAGAGGGCACCCTTCTTTGTGAATTTTTGGAAGTCCATAGTATGTTGGGGTGGTACCGGTGTAGTTGGTTAATTCTTTTTTTGTTTTGGTGGTAATATGTCCTTCTTCATGTAGTTGTTTTATTAGTAAGTTAGTGTTTCTTTCTACTGATGGAGTCAGATCTTTGGGGATTTTTTTATAGGAATGTGGGTCATTGAGAAGTTCAAATGATTTGGTGATGTACTCGTTTCTGTCCATTATGACTGTAGTGTTACCTTTGTCTGCTCTTGTTACTATAATATCAGGGTTGTCTTTCAGAAATTTTTTCGTTTTTGTTTCAATGGCCATGGATGGACTGATGTAATAACGGTTGGTTTTGATGTGGTTGGTAATAATATTCGTGATTTTTGAACGTTGCAAATTCTGTGAATCTGTAGGAAATTCGTTTGGAAATTATTAAATCGTTAACCACCTGTGGCTGTTTAACTAGCCATAATGATTAACGTCATTACATACTTATGAGGTTGAATGAAAATCTCCTGTTTGTAAATTTGGGCTGATTAGTGAGGGGAGTTGTTTTTACACTACCAACTTTTTTCACTGTGTTGTCCTTTGCAACCGGGTAGTCATCCAAACTCATTTAAACTTAAATTAACCGCCCAAAATTTGGGTTGTTATCTACACCTTGTTGATCTGTCAAAAGTATTTTTGACCTCAAGGTTGGCTGTCTTTTTGCGGTTTAGTTCGTTCCTGTTGCAGTAAACGCCATTTTCTCGGCGACATTCATAGGGCTTTGATCGGTAACTTCATTTTTACTACTTTTCAAAAATTTTATTAATATCACTTATAATGCTACCTAAAGTTAAAATCAAAGCTTAATATCCATTAAATAGTTGGAAGTTATTTATGATTTTCTTGATTCTTACTCACTTATTAACATTAAATAACATTGAATTTTACTTTAGACCACATGGTCATTTGCTGTGCTAATTTTTTTACAAGTTCATATATGTTGTTAGTTGCTTAACTGTTTATACAAGATCAGCGTATTATGTCCATTTACTTAGTTTCATTCACATGTTTGTTAATAACATTTACTGCTACATATCTTTTTAAGGTAACAATTAACATCGTTTCCATGATTGTGTGGTTCTCATATTGTAAAATTTTTTAGATGAACTGATGATGCTTTCAAAACTCGAAAGCGAAACGTCTTCAAAATAGATAAAGTAGCCTATCAACTTTGTCTTTTATTTCTCCACCTAGAGACCGATATAAGAACCCACCACTCGTCTGAGTGATCCTTATATATATATATATATATATATATATATATATATATATATATATATATATATATATAATACTTTTAGCTCTGTCTCCATAGTGTCTCACCATCAATTTTTCTTAGTGTTTTTAACTCTGCTGTTTCTAACATCCCTTTTGTCTTCTTTGTGGCAGGTCTTGTTTCTGTCGCGTGTGTCATTATTAATCTGAAGACTGTTTTTTAAATTTTGTCTCTCCTTTCATTCCCGATATTTTTTTTTCTCCATATTTTTCATTCAGGCAGCTTGCGGTTCTGTTTGCTCTATTCACATGATCTACTACTTCAGTTTCGAGATTTCAATAGCTAGATAATGTGATGCCTAGATAAATAAACTCCATCACTTGTTCTATTATCTGACTTTTCAGCTCCACTGTACGTCTTAGTAAATTTGCTGTTGTAACCATGCATTTTTTCTTTTTTGATGCAGCATACGTTGTAAATCACCTTCACCTTGAGAGAGTAGTATTGCGTCGTCTTCATAGCAGATTATTTAAGTTCTTTTTCTCCCATTTGGTATCCTTTTTTTAGTTCTTATTTTTTATTATTATTTCTTCTATAATCCGGTTGAACAATAGAGTACTTAAAGAATCTCCCTGTCTTATTCTATTGCGAGCTTTACTATAATCGGTTAGTTCTTCTTCTACTTTTACATTTATTGTGTTTTTTTGATAGATATTTTTGATCGTTTTGTTAATTCCTAGAGGTATCTCTCTTGCGCACGAATTGCAAATGCCTTCTTAAGGCAACGACACATAGATATGCCAGTTTGTGATATTCTAATGATTTACCTTGCACTTGCCTCATTATAAATATAATGTCGGTGCATGACCTTCCCGACCTAAAACCTTTTTGTTTTTCTGCCAGTGTTATAATTTCATTCAGTTTATTTGTTACCGCTTTGGTTGTTAATTTTAGTGTTGTGTTTAATAAATTCATTCGGCTGTAATTTTTCCGAGTACCGTTTGTTTCCCTTTTTAAAAAGAGGTATTAGAATGCTTGATCTAGGCTCTTGAGGAATTCTGTTTTGTTCTATTATCTTTTGGATTAGTTTTAAAAGTTATTTGGTTAGATCTGGTCCTCCATACTTTAGGAGTTGGTTCGGTATTTTGTCCTCTCCTGGTGGTTTTATATTTTTTAATTTCCTTAATGCTTCCTTTATCTCTTCCTCTTCAACATTTATTTTTTTGTTTGTTGTTATCTCTGATGGTGATGGTTCATTATCGTCACCTTTAACAAATAAAGATCAAAAGTATTCTACCCATGTTTCATTCTGAATATGTTTCGTTTTTATTAGTTCGTTTATCTCTTTTCTTTGCCCTCTGATCATTCTCCATAGTTCTTTTTGTGTTCCATAGAAGTCGGGTTAAATCTGATTTGATAAACTCTGCCAGTTTTCCCTTTTTATTTGTCTAACTGAAGTATTCGTTTCATTTCTGATCCGGTTATAGTGGTTATATGTCTGTTACGTTTGTTGTGTTCTGTATTGTAAAAAGGCTTTCATGGTATTTTCTTTTTTGATATGTTAGTGTTCGTTACTTTCCCCTCTCGAAGTGATTCTGTTGCTGCCTTAATTATGTTATTATGGACTTTTACCAGCTTTCCTTGATTTTATCATTTTCTAATATTTCATTACCAGCTATCTTTTCTGATATTCTTTTCTTGTACAACTATTCCGTGGATTACTGTATTGCCTATTCGGGCCTTAATATTCCTCTGACATGATCTACTACTTGTTGTAATTGGTCTTAAAACGCTTCCCTTGTTGTTTGAGGCTTGTTATTTTCTGGGCCGTATACTCCGATGATGTTTAGGTCTTCCTTCTCCAATTTTATCTTTGCTGTTATCATTATTTCTGATATGTATCAACACTCTTTGATGTTATTTTAGTACCTTTGGTGTAGTAGGACTACACCTTCTTTGGCCCTGTTTTCTTTTGCTACACCAATTTAGATTAGTATGTATTCACCTAATTTTGATGTGAATTCACCTAAAAATATATGCGTGCGCTTGAATTCGAGCAGTGAAGCTAGCCACAACAGTAAAGTTTATAACAATAATTTATTAGATTCTAGGGTAAACCATTAGAAATACCTAGGTGAGTAAAGTAGTAGATAAGGATAAATTTAAAATGCTGGTTAGTCTTAAGATTAGGTGCATTGTTAATTTATTAATAATAAAAAATGTTGAATGTAGGTATTATTTGTTTTAATATAAAAATAAAGTTAGCTATGTTATAGTAATTATATTATTTAATATATTACAGTGATTCTAGCAGTAGTCGTCAAAGTAGTCGTAGAAATTCTTGTACTGAATTTCCTTCTCATCAGTTCTTCTTACTTCCATAGTAACAGACATGTTCCAACTTTCACCTTTTCCAAGTCGAACCATACTAGACACATGGGCAGGTTCGAAGCACAAAAAGTATTTCCATTCATCGTCGTCTAAAACAACATAAAGATAATGTAAGTATTCTTTATTTTTTCTTTGATTTTTCTTTATGTATAATACAAAGCAATAAACACGTTACTACAGACGCGCTTAAAAGAATAATAATAATGTAACAATAAAACACTGAAAACTTTGTTTTCAAATTTCCACAAAATTTATTTTAAATCTTATCAGTACAGCTGTTTCGGCTGATTGCATTTCTCAAGTGATCTATTTTTGGCTTGGGTTTACAAATTTATAGTCTCTAATGAAATAGGTTGAGGAGGGGAGAACTTTTTGTCTCAAGTTGGTCATTCAGAATTATATCTGTATTTTTTAATTTGTTGATTTCCATAGATTCTAACAAAGATAGCTTAAGGCCTTTATTTTGAATGTGAAGAATTTTAAATTTGTCATTAAAAGACTGATTATAATCTAGAAGGTGAAGTGCGTATGTCGAATCTGTTTTTCTATTCTTGAAAGCCCTTTTATATTCTGCTATTCGTTTATCAAAGTTTCTACCAGTTTGACCGATGTAAGTTTTTGGGCAGACGCCACATTGAAGTTTGTATACACCACTTTTTAGGTGTTTTTATTTTTTTTTCTCTTGTTGTTTTTTATATATTTGCCTAGGTTGTTATTTGTTTGGAAAGCTGGTGTTATTCCTTTTTTTTTATGTGTTTGGCAATTTTTGTTGTTATTTTGCCTGTATATATGTAATCGAGCAGAAGGTCTTGGGTTTTTTCAGCCCAACATGCGTTTTCAAATGCCTGTGACTGTTCGCCCTCTATTTCGACTCTGCAAACAGCTTTATACAATCTTAATTTTTTATATATAATATATAATATCTTTATTTATTCAATTAAACCTTATCCATATCCTTTATATTCATTTAAACTTTATCCAAACAACTTCAGCCTTAACCAGTCTTATCAGTTTATTGGAGATGTGGAATTAATCCATAGCGTTGTATGATTTATTTCTCGACTTTTGTGGAATTAATCCATAGCTTTATATGATTTATTTCTCGGCTTACTTACGACTAGCTCTCCAACCAAAACAAGAGTTTAAACGTTTCGGTTTGTTTGCTTACCCTATCTTCAGCCCAGTAATTGCTCAGTCCCCACTTTTAACACCCTATAAGTGATACCCAATGTGGTAGGCAAATTAAATCATTACAATATTGGCAAGTTTAATACAGGTTTTATGTATTCATTATCCAAATTCATCACTGGTGGCTTAATATAAATATTTCAGCATCTAAATGATCTTTATAGGCGATTTTTAGTGCCTCTGCTATAATAAAAGTAAAAATTAGTAAGTAAAAGCATCCAGCGTTGTTAAATTTTATTCATTGTTATTTACCAAACAATATATAGAAAAAACGTCCTTTTCTCCAGAAATCAATTTTTATTCATTTTTTTCACTTCTATTTGATTAAAAATAGGCTCAGCGCAATTTTAACTTAAAAATTTCAAAAAATTCAAGTGCATAGTTAGGGCGATTACTAAATTTATCTATTTTTTATAGACCTGTAGATTGGGTGCACATCACCTAAAAAGGCATTTTTTTAGAGCTGCCTGTAGGTCTATTTTTAAATTTAGTCTATTTAATTAAAAACTGTATCTGTGATTTTTTCCAAAATCCAAACAAATGTTTTTTTAGGGGTTTTAAGGGATTTTCTCTTCATTTTAAAAGATCAAAATTGACCCCCTCTGTGGCTAAGTGGTAAGAGCGCCTACCTTTAAACCTAAAAGTCGTAAGTTCGAATCCCATCTGGGAAGGGAAATTTTTGTTTATTAAAATTTAATGAATGAAAATAATTTCTATCCATGTGCGATCGGTACTCACCGGAGGGTTCGGATACAATTAGCGTCTCTTAGCAAAGACAATGACGTCGACTTTGCTAAGTATCAAGACAATTACTCTACACATACATACACACACACACACACACACACACACACACATACACACACACACACACACACACACACACACACACTACACTAGGTACCTGACTGTACCATGCCAATGATCATAGTTGTCGAGGCATTAACTCAATAAAAAAAAATCAAAATAGATCAATTTAAGGTTAAGACGATTAGGACATGTAAAAATTGGACGAAACACCTTTAAACCACCCAAAAAACCATATATTGTACGTATCATAGGGGTTTAGACGGGGGTTAAACATAAGTTTTGACATCGGCACACACTGAATCAATTTTCTTATATCTTAGCTCAATTTGCCTTTTTGATAGACTTATAGATTGAGTGTAGGGGAACGTGGTCTACATTCGGCCATAGGGAACATTTGGCTACTCCCAATATATCCGATTTACCTTTGAATTAGGCGCCAATATCAACCCAAGTTGCTAGAAGAAACATTGTCCGACCTTGGCAGTGTATTAGCACAGACGAGTTTTAATAAGTGGTAGTTATTTTTCGTTATTTCGTTATGTGTTTAATTTTTGGATTTGTTTGGAGTAGAAACGTGGACATTAAAGGCGGAAACTCTATCAAAACTTCAGGCGTTTGAATTATGGTTATACAGAAGAATCCTGAAGACACCATGGACAGACAAAGTCACCAATGAAGAAGTGCTGCGGAGGATGAACACAACCGCATATTTGGTCAACATTGTGAAGAGCCGTAAGCTGAAATACTTGGGACATATAATGAGAAAATCAAGGCAGATACGAGCTACTCCACTGCATTTTGCAGGGTAGAATTGAAGGAAAAAGAGCCCCAAGACGAAGAAGAATATCCTGTCTTCGCTAACCATGCTACCATGCTCTCAGGCTAACCTGAGAGCATTGATCCTTATTTTTATTTCCTATTCTTTTAAGTTTTTCTGATAGTCCTTTTATGTACGGTATTGTTATTTTCCTCATATTATTCCTTGTGTATGCTGTAGGATCTCGTTCTAAGTTTGTTCTGTTCTATTCGATCGATTGTTGAAAATTCCTTATTTATAAACGATAAAGGATAATCATTTTTTAATAAAACAGATGTTAACAAATGAGAACGAATTTTCGTTAGAACAAGTAATTTTGGCTCTATCGTATAAGGATTTAATTATTCCCTTTTTTACATTAATATTGTGATTTGATTTGAAATTTAAATATCTATTGGTGTGTGTTTGGTTTTCTATACACCTGAGTCTCATACCCAGTGTCGTTCTTAGAGATTAAAACATCAAGGAAAGGTAGCGTGTTATTATATTCCTTTTCCATGGTAAATGTTATTGTCTCTTCTTTATCGTTTATATCATTTAGGAATGTGTCCAACAACTCTGATCCATGAGGCCATATTGAGAATACATCATCTACATACCTCCACCGTACTGTGGGTTTGAAATTTTGGTTAGAAATGATATTTGTTTCAAAATATAAGTATAATAAAATATATACTTATAAGAATGAACTATCTTATAAGTAAAGTCGTCCCAGGAGCGCAACTCAACAATATTGGCAATATCATTTTAAAGTCGTCTACTTTAAAATGCATAATGTATGTCTGAATTGTCAATATAAATGAGTCAGATAAAATTAAATTATTAGAAGAATTTTTCACTATGTAACAAAAAACAAAATTTGTTTAATTTACTGTTTGTATTTTGAGAACGATTTCCGAAGTGGAAATTGAAACGTCAATACACGTATTTTTATCTTTAATTGTGGTTTATTCCCAGTTTAATAGTAATTAATTTACAATGCCACAAGAAAATAGCTTCAGAATAATAACTGCAATTCTATATGCAAATAACGGCCAATAACTTTGTAGTTCTGTAAGTTTTCAAATTTGTGTTTATTTCTAAATATAATATTATTTCCGAATAAAATAACCTGAGTTTTTATAAAATCTGATGTTTTATTACTATTAAAAAACCTGTACAAAATATTTCACTTTAAAAGATACCAATATACAATTTTAATGCAATTGGCAATTACTTAAGTGGCCAATCACTCTACCCGTTACCCTATATGCAATTTCTTGTAAAAATTTGAAATTTGTGTAAAATATGCCATACCTATATACAAAAAAATACATTTTGCATATTTATATTCGTCTTTAGTTATGAGTACACAGTATAAGTAAAAAAAGATAAAGTATACAGAAATTTTTGTACTCACCCAAATCTTCCATAGTTTTCGTCTTTTCTGGCCCAGGGTTGAAAAAACCCAAATCTGAAAGATTATGAAGAGATATACTAAGCTGTTTATTTCCTTCCATATAACAATTAACTATTTTCGGCACCTCTTGATAGATCCTATCAAACTCTCCTTGGACCTTAATTTCCTTATATTTTTCTATGAACATACAAGTTCCGTCTGTTATAAGCTGATCATCGTAAGGGCAGTTTTGAAGACCTACAATTCGCAGGTTACTAACGTCTGATAGTCTCACGTAGGTCTGAAGGTTTATGTGGAAATCGAAGTCGAAATATGGACTTGGATTTATAACGGTGTAGGCCATTGTGAGTTGACTTGAATGTAGGGTTATTCTAAAATAAAGTAAAACTAGTTAATGGTGCAGATATATCTACATATATACTAAATAAAATTATTACATGACCAGCATCGAAATATTCTAATTTCCTAATTTATTTAGGAGAATGAGAATACTATACTTCTAAAAATTCCAATATAAATATATATATATATATATATATATATATATATATAATATATAACTCATTTTTATTCAAAAACTCTTTTCATTTCATCGAACTTATATCACCGTCTATATCACCCTATATATATCGTACATCTAGTTCAATACTGCCACAACTCCAAAAATTACAATTTTGAGTTAAGGCTTTAAAAAGGTTGCATATATGATACCCCATCTAATGCAATACAACCTTAACTGAAATATTGTCTTGGATAAGTATAAAGTAAGATATTTCGGTATTACACTGTAAGGTTTTGAAATGCAATATGGCCATAACTAGGAGATGTGGCCATAATACACTCCGCCACAATACAACCGATGTAATTCAATACGGCCACAACTGCAAAAATTGTTAGATTAGTGGTACGATTTTATCAGTTCTCAATTATTTATGCACGATTTATCCACGTTTTTAGTGTACAACTATTTGATTTAAAGTATGAAAACAGTGTATGAAAATAAAGTATGAAAACAACAATAGTGATATTATTATTAACTTTATTATCAAACACGATGTCAAGGGCAAAAAAATGCTTGGACTAGCTTTGCAAAGCTATCTTAAAGATGATGAGTATCTGAGAGACAATTCAGAGGTTTCTGAGGTTATGAATGACATCTCCTTTGTGTTGACGGAGGTTTGTATTTCAACAAAAATCACAGTGAGGTTTTACCAAAACCAAGTGAATGGAAACGAAATATTAAGAAACTGCGAGTTAACTCTGGGCTACCTTACATTATAGAAGGCAACAAAGAAAAACGTGGGAAGACTTTAAAACCTGCATGTGGAGAAAAATGTACAAAATGCAGCCAAAAATTCAGCAATGCTGATAGATATGATATACATTCACGTTTCTGGAATTTGAAATACAACGCTCTTCAAAAACAATTTGTTGCTTCCCATTTGGAAAAGTTGGTTACTAAATACAGAAAAACGGTTGACGGCAGTAACCGTGGTATGAATTTAGCGTATTTTTTAACAATACACGGAGTAAAAGTTAAACATATCCATAATAAAATTAGAAGCGGAGAAGAAAAAGCAAGAGATCTAGCAAGAGCAAAAGATGATTTTCACGTATTGGTAGCTTGTTTTGATTTGCAGGCGATCCTTCCTACACCTTGTGGAGATGTTTCAAGCTTCTACTATAAATGCCGCCTGAACTGCTTCAACTTTACAATTTTTCAGATATTGCAAAATACTGGTTACTGTTACTTTTGGCACGAGGCTATTGCTAACCGCGGCTCAAACGAAATAGCTACGTGTCTGTTTGATTATCTTTCAAATCATTGTAATGATAAAGACGTTATATTTTTATAGCGACAATTGTGTTGGGCAAAATAAAAATAAATTTATAGTTACCATGTTTCTCTATGCAATTGGAAAAATTAATGTTAAATTAATCACACATAAATTTTTAACAGTGGGACATACCCAAAATGAAGGGGACGCCATGCATGCAACTATTGAGAGGCAAAAGAAGAAAATACTTAAAACAGGTCCCATTTATGTTCCTGCACAATGGCCTGTCATCATTAGATCTCAAAAAAAGAGGGAAATCCTTACAATGTAAAAGAAATGTCAACAGAAGACTTTTATGACTTGAAAGATCTCAATTCAAAAATTGGAGGAGATTTTACAAAGAATACAAAAGATGAAAAGGTAGTCTGGAATGATATCCAAGTTATTAAAGTTGTCAAAAGCAATCCTGGATCTTTCTTCTATAAAACAGATTATAATGCCGATGAGTTCGAAGAGGTTCATTTTAAAGCATCGACAAGGGGGCGTTCAGCAACTGTGGAAGAAGTAATCGATTTAATAAAGGCGTACATAAAGCCTCCATCGATATCCGCAAAAACCAAGCAACACCTTTTGGAACTGTGCAATAAAAACTTAATATTACCTGTTCATCACAATTTTTATAAAACTGGGTTGATAGTTATTAAAAAAAATGTTCATACACACTTTAATAATAATAATAAAAATATTTTTTGTAAGAACTAGTTGATTTTTTTTTATTTTGTTGCCGCCGTATCTCCTATTTAGCGTTTTATAAATGACTTTCTTCACAATGCAATATCGCCATAACTATCAAAATACAGTTAACGTTTTATTTTTAATAAATTGTAATAAGATCCAGCGAATAACTGTATAATTTGCTTACTAAATTGTAATTTTGAAGTCAGTCATTCTAAAAATAAATTATTTACAAGGCATAACTCGTTTGCTACAGAACGTTTTGCTCATTTCTCGAAATTATTGTATTTTGGACTTGTGGCACTATTGAACTAGGTGTGCGATATACTACCATATACCCTATATCACCGTCAGACATTCTAGTAAGTTTTCGATATTGTCTCACTCTTATATACTGGTGGGTTCTTATATCGGTCTCAAGGTGGAGAAATAAAAGACAAAGTCGATAGGCTACTTTATCTATTTTGAAGACGTTTCGCTTTCGTATTGTGAAAGCATCATCAGTTCATCTAAAAAGTACAATATGAGAACCACACAATCATGGAGAAGATGTTATAAGTGTTACCTTAAAAAGACATGTAGCAGTCAATGATATTATCGAATACGTGAGTAAACTCAAGTAAATGGACATTATACGGTAATTTTGTATAAACAATCAATTAACTGACAACATTTAGCAACTTATTAAAAATTAGTACAGCAACAGAACATGTGGTCTATTGTTCATGTAATATTTTATTTTAATATTAAGTAGTGAAAAAGAACTAGATCATAGATTCACGTCCAACTATATGAGAACTATTTATGTTTTGATTTTAACTTTAGGTAGCATTATTAAAGTGATTTATATTAAAATTTAAAAATAGTACATATCGACTGGTCCAACGAAGACTGTAGTAACTCAAATTTTCCACTTTTTGAGTTACGAGCGCAAAACAATAAAACATAATGATATCTTCCCCAGGAAAGAATCGTATCTCAGTAAACGTAGTTATGCAACCAATATTACGTGTAAGAGTTTTATAGTATCTCCGATTTATGAAAAACAACCGTAGAAAATCATCGTATCTTGAGTTACAATAGTCTTCGTTGTTATCTGAGGCGATAGCATAGGTATCGTAACATGAGTTACTACGGTATTCTGCGTTAGTTTAAGGTTATGTTCAAAAGTTTAGTTTTGTTATAATTGCCATAATGTGTTCCAGAAGTGAGTTACTATTGGAATTAGCTGAGAAAGCGTATACAAACACTGAAACGGATATTTCTTATCGTTTTGAAGGTAAATTTATAATAAACTTTATTTAAAATAATAACAGTAAAGTAAAAACCTACTTATTTTTTAAGGTAAACATATTGCTGAAAGTATTGTAGAAGAAAGCAAATACAAAAAGGCGAATGAGAATCCTGGTGACCACGAGACTGATATGAATCCTGAATGTTCTACAGGTTGGTTTAAATTCCGCATGAAAAAATATTACGTAGGCATTTACCTCATTTTTGTTTAATTTTAGTAAGCTTAGAAGATAATGAAGCCAATAGGAATGAAAATGAAATAATTGAGAAGGAAAGCGATGAGGAACCATTTCGTGCAGACTCTGATACTGACCCAGATTACATTCCGACAGAAGACAAAAACATCCCTAAAGTAATAATTGAACCTAATAAGAATATAACTGAAGCAACCACAAATAGAAAGAGAAGAAGCAGAGGCAATATAGAGAGAGTAAGTAGGAAAATAATTAGAGACGTTAGTAAGTGGGCGGATGAAAAATCTAAAACAAGTCTAAACCTGGGACTTGAACATGAAAATCGAAAAGGTATTCAAATTAAGGAAGACAGATGGGTGCACCATGCGCAAACACATGTAGACTAAAATGTGCTATCAAAAATAGAGACCTTTTTTTCAATGAATTTTGGAAGTTAAAAGATCATACGAGAAAGTGGGATTTTATTGCTCGTCATGTGAGACAGGTTGCCAAAAAACAAGTAACTATTACTGCAGAACAACGGTCTCGAAGAAATTACTCTCGAGAATATTACTTTCACATTCGCAATAAAAAACAACGTGTTTGCAAAACTATGTTTTTGGAAACCCTTAACGTTTCAGAAACTTGGATCACTACAGCATTAAGGAAACTAAAAGATGGTGGATCATTAGAGGAAGATAAACGTGGAAAGCACACTAACAAACCACATAAACTATCACCAGAACTTATAGACAACGTAAAAAATCACATAAATCAGTTTCCTGTAGTACCTTCCCATTATACCCGTAAGAATACGATGAAGATGTACCTTGAAGAAGGGCTAACTATCCAGAAAATGTACCGATTGTACAACGAGCATTGCGAAAAAAATAACATCACTACAGCTGCCACGTCACGTCAGTATAGAGATATTTTTAATGAACAGTTCAATATTGGGTTCTTTAAACCAAAAAAGGACCAGTGTACTGTTTGTTCTGTTTTTAATATGGCTAGTGATGCCGAAAAAGCAAAATTGCTCGAACAATATGAGTCCCATATGAAAAACAAAGAAGTTATCAGAAACTTAAAAGACATAGACAAACAGCTTGCACTAGATGATAAGAGCTTGTGTGTGGCTTGCTTTGACCTTCAAAAGGTTTTAGCTACCCCGCTGTCTAACGTAAGTGATTTTTACTACAAAAGCAAATACTCTACATATAACTTTACAGTTTATGATGTTGGAAATAATCAGGGTTACTGCTATGTATGGCACGAGCAGGTGGCTAAAAGAGGTCCTAATGAAATTGCCAGTTGCCTCTGGAAATTTTTAGATCTCAAGGCACAACAAAGTGTTAAAACGATAATATTCTACTCAGACAACTGTGGGGGACA